AGGTGGAGGTGAGGTAGCGGCAAGTAGCTTAGTACAGTACACATACTCCGGGATTTCCGGATAACTAACTGTAAGCAATCCTCCCGGCCTTTCTAGCCAGTCATTCAGTATCAGCCTCGACTAATCGGATAAACACTACTTTCTACGTCTGATAACCCCCAGAAGCTCTATAGCCAGACCGCTTTCAAATACACTGCACTTTTGAATGAGAGAATCCGTGCCGTGCCCCAGAGGAATAGATCCACGTCCATTGCTTTATACTTTACACTCTAACCCGAAAATTAGAGAGAGAATCAAACATCTCACAATATTTCGTGCAATTCACATTGTGACTACAACCGAATGAAAACGTAACAAAGTCATTAGGTTTGTGGGTTTTGGTAGTCTTGTACAAAGTGAGTGAAGAAATAGCGTTTAATGAAGTCAAAAAATCACCTTTATTACAATCCTGTTTTTGCTGGACTCCACCATGCTGCTTGTAAACATAGCCCTAAAGTCAAAACTTCTGAGCCTTCAGTTATGAACAATATACTCAATACCACTTCGAAAGACGGCAAGCTCAGATACAAATTTTAACCATAGTATAATGGCTGTGGTTCACTAGGAAAGAAGCTAGCGAATTTTCCGCTTTCAAAGCGCGGAATTTTTTCGCTGCGGGAACCTCAATAATCAAGAGTAGAGTCGGGATCTTTGCAACGAAAAAATTTTCGCGCTGCAAAAGGAAATCTGCCCTAGCGAACCACACCCTGGTATAATAATGACAGTATCTCACGCAGTCCAATTTTTACAGATTGTCTACACTTCGTGACAAAAATTTTTCTGATTCTTAGAAAAACCTCGAAAATATAATAGCTAATTTTCGTTAAATTGTCACTAACGAGTAAAAGAAAGAAATCGTTTCCACAAAAAATCCTTACATGAAGTATGGGCAAGCGGCTGCTAGAACAACTTTGTGAGCTGCGATGATTGTTGGCGGAGAGCTCTCCGACTCGGCTCCACCAGCATCAATCGGGCCGCTGGCTTCTATCACAACGTCGCACAGTTCATCATTTCTGAAACTCAGCATAGTAACGAAGTATTCATCAGGCTTGTGCAATTCATCCACTATACTTACCTTCTGAGGTGTGTTAGGTTGTGGAAAAATTCGCCGGAAAGGCGGTCATTAACAAAATGATGGACGGTTCGATCGCGTTCTGGAGAGCGTGTGCTCCGACGTGGTGGACAGTCGGATTCTGCACACCACCCGTCCATCTACGAATGAAATTCTGAAAGTTTTCAAGATAATTCGTATCACGGACATGATCGTGAAAAAAGGCTTTGAGCAGACAGCAATTCACTCAAACAATTTACTGCGCAGTCATAAAGCACATTTATAGTCGGTCGTCGATCGAAATGACCGTAATGATCGCACAACGTTAGATACATATCGATTGTCCAATCCACGGACACGTCTGACGATCGATATGCATCCAATGCTGTGCGATCGTTACGATCGGAAGAACGACTATGAATGCGCTCTTAGTCTAATGCTTGAATGATTGTCAGACTTTGCGATCACAGTCTGGAATGAGGCGGAGCGCGATTCTGGCGAGGCACATCTCACTTTCAAGTGAAATCGCGAAGTCTGACACCTATCTTACAGGCTAGCAATCAAGCATAATCCCTCTCCAGATACTCCAAGTGACATCAATGTGCTCAAAGGCAGAACTAAGCGAAGCCCGACAACCAGAGTTTTGTTTACATAAATTAGTGATGCCGAAAAATTTGTATGAAACTGGCCAAAATAAGGGTTTTAGCAGTTAATATGCACGCACCGCGATGCCTCTTCTTCGTTGAAGCCCTGTATTTGTTACAGCTATTTGTCAAACTCTAATTCCATGAATTTACTTGTTCGTAATCAACTCGATCGCGCCACTCTCCAAAACACCGCCAGCAATATGGAACAAGGATAACGAACAACTATAAAGCGTAATAGCAGGGTAACTAAACTGGAAAAATACCGCGGTGCTAACTTAGTTGG